ATGAATTATATGAATGGATTAATTAAATAAATAATTAATTGATTAACACTGGAGGAAAGGCTAGGTGTAAGTACAAGCCCCAAATACTGGGAATTGTACTCCTAAAAACTCAGAGGTATTTCCCTTGCAAACTTCTTCATTCCTCTTTCACTCAGATCTTAAAAAGTCATTTTTGGACTACAGTTCTGATAATCCCCAATACAGTGTGGTTGCCAAGTGGTCGGGGAAGAATAAAGGAGATTGAATAGTGCCATCACTAATGAAGCTACTAGATTAAAGTCAAAAGGATGTCTAATGGTCGAAGTGCACAGAGATTAAAGTCTGAAACTACACAACATACTGTATACAATTGGAACACAGATTGTGAATGCGATGAGTAAAAGTAAACTTAAAACCATACAGCAAGAAATGGGATGTTTAAACACTGCAGTGTTTAGTGTCAGTGAAGTAAAGTGGATTGGAATAGAACATTTCTAGGTACACAACTACAAAGAGTTTTACTCTGGAAATGACAAACCCGGAAGAAATGGAGTGGCTCTAATACGAACGCAAGGTGTATCACTGGCAGTTAGGGGTTATAGTGCAAGGTCTAACCAAATATCAATCAGACCTCTGGGAATACCTATCAACATAACGATCACTGAAGTCTATGCTCCTTCTATAGATGATGAAGAAGATGAAATTGAAGCTTTTATGCAAGCATCTAGGAGAAAACTGATCACATAACAAAACAAGATATAATCATAGGTGACTGGAATGTAAAAGTTATAATCATAGGCGACTGGAATGTAAAAGTAGGAAAGAATGCCAAACCAAAGATCATGGGAAATTTCATCTAGGAATTAGAAATAAAGCAAGAAGACTCACAGAGATATGCTAAGTCAAAAACCTATTTATTGCAAATACATTTCATGAAATAACTGGACAGAAGACTGTACATGAGGACATGACCAGATGGCCAATATAGAAATCAAACAGACGACATAATTGCAAGCAAGAGATGGAGAAGCTGTACCTTGTCTGCCAAAACAAGAACAGATTGTGCTTACTATCAAAAATTAAACTAAAGGTGAAAAAGAACAGTAAAGAAATCCTAGTGTCAAAATATAATTAACTAAGATTTGTGATTACTTTAAAAGTCGTATAAAGAATAGATTTGCATCACTAAGCTCAGTAGTAGAGATGGGGGTATTTGTATACAGTGGACCCTCTACTTACGCAGCTAGACTTAATGAGGGGCTGGCCCCTGCGGCTGGCCCGTCCAACCCAGTAGTAGAGATGGGGGTATACGAATACGAATATCCCCGCACAGGTGGTGCTAATGAGGGTCCAGCCCCATGGTGCAGATGGCGCGATTCTACCAATAGCTACGCAGCGTGCGATCCGCTCGCCACTCCTGGCAGATGGCAGGAGGACAAGCCTCGCTGCAAGGTTAAAGAGTGGCGAGCGGATCGCGTGCTGTGATCCACGGCAGATCGGTGAGTGGACCATCATGCCCCATGGGGCTGGACCCTCGTTAACGTCATGGCCAGAGAAGTCTGTAACTCGAAAAGTCTGTAAGTCGAGCCATCTGTAAGTGGAGGGTCCACTGTACGAATACGAATATACCCGTACAAGTGGCATTAACGAGGATCCAGCCCTGTGGGTCCAGACGGTCCCCTCACCGATTCGCTGCGGACGCAGATGGCCCGATTCTACCAATAGCTACACAGCGTGCGATCCACTCGCCACTCCTGTCAGGAGGCAGGAGGACAAACCTCGCTGCAAGGTCAAAGAGTGGCGAGCGGATCGCGTGCTGCGATCCACGGCGGATCGGTGAGTGGACCATCTGGCCCCATGGGGCTGGATCCTCGTTAACGTCACCTGTGCAGGGATATTCGTATTCGTATAGGAATACCCCCATCTCTACTCAGTAGACTGTAAAGTAGAAGAACTGTGGATTGAAAACAAAGATACTATTAAGGAAGAATGCAAAAAGAGAATTCCTGTAGTAAAAAGAAAAGAGAAACCTTGATGGGTTACGAGAAACACTTAAAATTGGAAATGATAGTTGAGAAGCAAAAGTAAAAAGGTGACAGAAGAACAGTCAGAACCTGAATACAACTTTTCAGCAATTATCACACAGAGACAGATTGTTCTGAAAGGGATGTGCCTCAGCATATGATTCTCCTGAAGCAAAACTTGGATTGTGGACATAAAACTACTGTTAGGATGGCTGGGCTGAATTGTTCCTGTAGGAACTTGTGTTGAACAAGGGTGTTTTTTATCTCCATATCTGTTCAGTCTGTATGTAGAACATATACAGAAAGCTGGAGTGGATTCAGATGAAGGAGGAATTAGAATTGGTGGAAGAAACACTAATCATAATTATATGCAGATGGCCTCGTATTACAGGCAGAAAGCAGCATTGACTTGAACCGACTCCTGATGGAAGTGAAAAAAGAAATTGCAAAAGCAGGACTATAGCTGAACACTAAAAAGACAAAAATCATGATTACATCATGAGCACATAACAGAACACATGCTGGAAAAGACAATAATGCTAGGAAAATTAGAATGCAGCAGGAAAAGAGGAAGACCAAAAATGAGACGGTTTGTCTCCATAAAGGAAGGCACAACTTGAAGTTTACAAAAGCTGAACAGGGCTCTTAACAATAGAACATTCTGGAGTAATTCATTCATAAAAGGCATCTTGATGGTGGAGTACAGCAATATCAGAAGTTAAATCAGTTGTTAAGGTTTCACATGGCCTCTTGCTTTTCTTGCTTCCTCTGATTAGAGTGGTCAGGTTTATGGCTTGTAGAATTTTCCACTTATTTACTAAAACCTGCCAGATAGAAGATATATACTTTGAATTCTGGGTCTAGGAATCCATTGTGAACATCGAAATTGGATACAGCTCTTCTCCAATTGCTTCCATTTTCTTCATTTAAGCGGTATAATTTCAGGAGGTGCCTATGCATGTGTGTCTTGTGTGCATGCATCTGCAATTTAATTGATGTCATCGTTAAAGTCATTGGAAAGAAAAATAACTTTGCTAATCAACTGCAGATCACCTGGAAATCTACCAATACATGGCTGCTTCCAGATGGCACTTTTCTTGTACTCTCACTGTGCTTCATTCACAATATTTTCATGTGCATGTGTTAGAGACGCCAGATGTCCTCTTTTAGGGAGGAAGGCCCTACGCTTGAAGCCAGGCCAGAAGGCAGCCCTTGGATTTGAAGGGTGGCTGTCTTGTCAAAGTCTGGTTTAAAGGTAACCAGAACAAGGAAGTGACTCATCCACAGGGAGGAACACCTGAATGAGAGGCTCAGCAGGCACACAGAGGGGTGGTTTATTATCTTCTCCATTTGAGTAAGAGGAATTTTTAATTCCATTTAATTTATCCCCCAAGCTAATTTTGCACCTGTAGATATAAAATAGCACATGCAAATTTATACAAACCAATCTTCTCTTTTGTCCTACCTTTTGGCAATGCATGTTCTCATTGTTGGAGATGTGTAGTCACCATGGCAGTGAGTGAGTGGTAAGTGTGTGTGTGTGTGTGTGTGTGTGTGTGAGAGAGAGAGAGAGAGAGAGAGAGAGAGGTAAACAAAACAAAAAGCAAGACAAAAACATTGTGGCACCTTAAAGACTAATTGCTGTTTTTTAAGGTCCACTTCTTCAGACATCAGATTGAGACCATGTGTGGGGGTCCGCTGTCATTTTCCATTCTATTGTTTTCCCACCAATTTCCCCATGTTTATCTGATTCCTCTTTATGGAGGAAAAAGTATAAAAGCTGCAAAATGCCAAAGAGCCCTTGCAGGTTGAATTGCCTCAGATCTAGCTTCTGCCCACTTCTTCACTGACATAACTATGGGATTTCTGGCATTCAGGTGATTGTGCCAATTTGTCCGAGTTGCCCTTGATGAGTTCTTTTGTGATTACGATAACCACACAATACAGTACAGACACACAACATAGCATCCCTAACAAGGTTTTGAAGGTAATATTTAAAGAGTGGGTTTATCAGTTCTGACACCCATGACTTTTTCATGGCCCAATGGGGATTTGAACTCAGCTTTCTTGCATCCTAATCCCTCACTCTTATCCACTACACTGGCCACCCTTCATCTCTTTTTACTTATTTCTTATCGTTTATTTATTCTTATTTTTAAATCTTAGATATATGATTCAAATACTGCTTGTAGGCTTCACTGTGTTGATAGATCGACTTTTTCCCCGATGATGAAATTTCCCATACTATCCCAATGAGAAATACTTCGTTTCTTTTGAGGAAATGCAGCAGAGAAAAATAAAAGAAAAACGAAGAAAGGGAATAAAAACATTATGGCACATCAACACGAGTTTTTGTGGATAAATTCTACAGTTAGTCGTTCAGGTGCCACAACGTTGTTGTCTCTTCTTTGTTTCGGGATATTTCTTGGGGGGGGGTATCTGATATTCTTGCAGACACACCTACTTCTTCAAAAAATGACTATTTTGAAGAAACAGTCCACTTCAGATGGCCACTTTCGCTACAGAATTTATACGATAATAACTGTGTACTCATAACAACCACAATACTGTAATAATATTTTGGACGTTCCTCGTGAAGGATAAGGGAAACCATTTGGCTTCGGTGGCGGGTACTGAGCATGCGCAGGATGATAGAGAAAGTAAGGGGGGGCAAATTAAGAGCCGAGTCCAGTTGGAAGAAAGGAAAGGCTGGTGCTTCATTTCTTGTTACTGAGCATGCCCAAGAGAAGTTGGCCAAGGACGCTACTGCGCCTGCTCGAAGTGTGAGGCGGGCAAAGTAAGGGCAAATTTGGTGCTTCAGTTTCTTGTACTGGGCATGTCGCAAAGGAAAAAAAACGCACCCTGCCAGCCCTAGGCTCCACCTGACGTTACTGAGCGTGGCAAAAATGAGAGGCGCGTGCGCAGTAAGCCTTTCAGAACCGTCCCTCGGTGGGGAGTTGCTGCCCTTCCTCTCGGTGTGAGTCGCTGAGGTAACCCGGAAGTTGAGGGGAGAGAAGGGGGGGGAAACAAAGATTAGAAAGCTCGGCAGGGCTCTGGGGAATGGCCATAAGAAAAGGAGGATAAGTCCAATTTGTATCCTCTTGGCTAGCCGCTGCCTCCCAGACAGGAATCCAACAGGTAAGCCTGTGGAGAGTGCCTGCACAAAAGGGGAGGCTTGATGGATTTCTGCCTCGTACGCGACGGTTAAGGGTATGGGTCTTGTCAGGCTCCAGGGGTTTTCAGTCTGTGGCTTTCTAGATGATGCTGGACTCTTACTCCACTCAGTCCCAGTCAGGGATGATGGGACCTGCAATACAAGACCCTTCTGAGAAACACAAGTTGCCTGCTCCATGGGGTTCTCCTTCTGTGTATTCTTAATATCTGAGTGACATGTTTTTAGTGAGGTGGCGGGATGGGGGGAAAGATAGTTTCACTGGGTACAAAGATGCAGTGATGAGGATGTTGATTGATTGATTGATTGGATTTCTATCCCGCCCATCTAGACCAAAGATCTACTCTGGGTGGTTTACAAATTTTAAAACAATAAAACCAAAAAAACATATATTATAGATCCAAGGTGGCAAAAGTATAAGAAATTAAGATATGGCAGGAGGGAAAGCCTGCCCAAATAGCCAGGTTTTAAGTTTATTCTTGAAGGGAGTCAGGCGGATCTGAAACTCCTTTAGAGTACACACACAATGAATCAAGCAGGGGTATTTAAAAAAACCACACAGATCATGAATAGAATCTCCCTTGGTATGCGTATATGAACTTGTGCGATTTGCTGCTGTGTTGTGTTTGTGTGTATGGCTTTGAATATGGGTGGTGTAAGTGTCAAGATGCCTGTATGTGTCATGCTCTTGTGCTGTGGGCTTGGTGACTGTATTTTGGCCAATTTAACCCCTTCCCCCTTTGGAAAGGACAGCCTGGCCATCCCCCAAGGGGTGATCTCTGAGGGTCTGCCATACAAGGACCATCAGCTAACGTAGGCTTTCCCCTCTTACCTTGGTTTCCTTGACAGGGCTTTTAGGGATGCAGGTTCCAAGTGCTGGTGATGCCGCTGTTGAAGGGCAGGTCCGGGAGGCCATCCGGAAAGATCTTCTGGCTGCTGACCTGAAACTGAGCTTCTTTGTCTCTGCTCTGCAAAGCTACAAGCGGGATTCTGTCCTTCGGCCATTTCCAGGACTCTACTCCACAGAAGAGAGCAAAGATTTTGAGGCTTTGGTGAGTTGTCTCCCTGCTGAGGGTGTCCTTGTGATTTAAAAAAGCAGGTTGGATTTGGTATTCAGCTCATGTGGAGCACCTGGTTTAGGGGGCTTTCTAAGCATGCACAGCTACATTGCGGATGTGTTCGTTTTTGACAATTAGGAAAAAGAACATTGGCCAGAATCATGTTGGCAGTTCACATGAGATTTGTGTAACATGCCACAATAGCTGGCTGGCAATTGACAAGATGCCAGAGCACATCTCAGTTGTACAGATGGGTGTACCACTGGCCACATGACTGGGATGCACTTGCACTTTATCACCTGCCTGCAGTTAGCTGTGTCAGGTTATACAAACCTTTTTTGAACATCAGTAAGATTGTGGACATTATATTCTTGTTGAAGAAAATCAGGTTTTGCTGTTGTGCTGCTTGCAAAACAATTATTCCTGGAAACTGAAGCTTCCTGGAGGACCTGCTTTCCCAGACCAGCGGAGTTGCGTCATAATTGCTGCTGCTGAGGAACAAATTGCATCCTTACTGGTACTGTCATGTTCTCCAAGTTGGGTCGTCTGCCTTGGTGAACCCATGTGAAAATGTGACATCTTATGCAGAATTGAATAGGATTGTGAGGGTTCTGTTTCCAGTACCTGTGATTTAGTGAAGGGGAAGTGGGACAGCCAAAGAAAATTCAGAAAATAGACAGTCCTGTGTCACAAGGAGACTAATAATAAGCCTCTCTTCTTTTGCTACTGTATTGCCATGTACATGTTGACGCCCATGTGCCAAGTGGATGAATTTCTTCAGGGACAAATATCCCGTTTTTGTGAATAAGGGAGCAGATATTGATTCCACCTGCCACCACTTTCATAGGTAGGTGGTGGCCTTCCATTGAGTCAGAAAATGGTGGCCAATATTGTCAGCTCTGATGGTTAGTAGCTCTCCAGAGTTTCAGGCAGGATTCCTTCCTAGCCCTAGCTGGAGAAGCCAAGGATTGAGCTTGGGGTTTTGGCACAGAAAGGATGCCATCTACCACTGAGCCAGATCACTTCTCCATCTCTACGGCAAACACCTTAACAGGAAATACCTTGGCATCAAAGACCTTTTTTTCCTTCAAAAGAATATTTGAAGTGTGTGGCTTCCTGAGGAACTTCTGTCTTCCCAGTCTGGAACGTTACAGGCAACTTGGGCTTTTGAAAACAATGCCATTGATAACAGGGATCTGTTTTGGAGATCATTGTGGGTGGAATCTGATGGTTGTAAGGTATGATTGACTCATTCATGGATCTTCAATTATAAACGCAACACATTTATAAACACAGAGACAATCTTTTGTGCAGTCCTGTTAATCCTAGTGAATCTCTGGCTCATCTGGGCTGTGAAAAATCATATTTCCTGGAAGATTCACATATTTCTCTGTGCATGTAGCATCCTTTTGCAGTGTTCAGTTGATGGCGAGGGGTGAAAGTTTTCCTGCAGCCAAAAGTGCTATACCTCAGCTATAGAGTGTGAATTTGGTATGAAGAAATCCACAGTTTTGATATCCAGTAAACTCCGGGAGGCAGTGGAAGACAGGAGGGCCTGGCGTGCTCTGGTCCATGGGGTCACAAAGAGTTGGACACAACTTAACGACTAAACAACAACAAATATATTGAGTTAGATGAAGCGACAGTCAGGCTTCCCAGAAACTCCCCGTTCTGTGTTTTTGGCCCTGCCTAGAATTGGTCAATATAGATTAGTCAAGCAGTTTGTCAAGCTTTCAAATTATTCTCCCTGTCCTCAGGTGGCAGCTTTATGCACTACACACTTCCCTGACAGTTCCCATTGAACAGGGCTGTGAATCCTTTGGCTCTGAAACCATAATGTGTTTTGAATCTCAAGCTGCTCTTGCCTGCTGGTGTGGTCCATGGAGTCAGTTTCTTTGACCAATTAAGCATTATTTTTCAATGTTTTAAAAAGAAGAAAAGATGACTGTTCTTTAGAACCAGGCTGAGGTTCCCCTATGCCTTGAGTGACATTCCCCCAAAACTGTTTCTACTAATTGACTGTAGGCTTTGGATACTTTCTAGGTCTGTATTGGGGGACCTGGGGGCCCTCAGAGCATGCCCAGGAGGTGTGAACCATCCCAGCTGTAGGACTTGCTTCTATCTAAATACAGTGGTGCCTCGCATAACGAGCACACTGTTTAACGACGAATTCGCATAGCAATCCGTTTTTTGGGATTGCTAATGCGATCGCATACCGATGGTTCCAATGGGCAAAAATCGCTTTGCGACGATCGGTAAGCGTTTCGCTTACCAATCGTCGCATTGCGATGTTGGGGTAACAGCTGATCGGCGGTTCCAAAATGGCTACTGGAAGACCCAAAATGGCTGCGCGCAGCGTTTTTGCGACCTGCCCTCGCTTACCGAGGACGCGAAAATGCCTGCGCTATGGAGGAACATCGCTGAACGGTGAGTTTGGGGCCCATTGGATCCCAATGGGTTTTTCTGTTCCGTTTAGCAATGTTTCCGAATAGTGATGGTTAATCCGGAATGGATTAACCTCGCTATGCGGGGCACCACTATATGCATAGGATGAAACTGGTAAAAATGTTGGTTGGTGACCACTAGGGGTCTCTAACCATTTGAGATGGTCAAGAAAAACCAGAAATGTGTGCTAAGCATGTTTGCCTCTCAGCTTGCAGATGCAAATGCATTGGTGAGCTTGAAGGAGTTGCTTGAGTCCGCCCATGGTGCAGACCAAAGGGCCTGGGAACTGCTGTGGTGGGTGCTGTCCTTCAAGGCCTTGCGGATACAGAGCACCAGCAAGAAAGAGGTGAGAATCTTTACATTACAATGATCACATACTTGGCTTAGCTCCTGAAATGGAACCTGGGGGTAATCTTGGGACTGAACCTTGGGATTGAAGCTGGCTCCAAAGAGATTTAGGAAAGGAGAGGGATCTTAAATCTCTTGTAAGAAACTCAGTGCATAGTGGGCGTCACTATCTAGTCAAAGTTGAGCCCTTTAACCTGAAAGAAAAAACTTCAGTAAAAGGCTGATCCTGCCTTTTGAACAATAAGCAAAGCAAAGTGTGCTGCTAATATATTGCCCCAGAGCACCTAAAGCACTCTCTGGGTAGTTTACAGTTTAGTGATGCAAACGTTTTGTGCCCTAGCAAGCACGGTACTCATTTACTCACCTCAGAAGGATGGAAAGCTGAGTCAACCTTGAGCCACCAACCCAAGCCCTGTGGAATTGAACTCGGGTCATGAGCAGAGGCTTCCCTGTGAAATTGAACTCGGGTCATGAGCAGAGGCTTGACTGCAGTTCAACAAAATAGATGGTACTCAAATTTAAATCCATGGCCAAAAATATACCTGAGCAAATTGAAATAAGTCCTGTTCAAGAATGTTGATAATGTGAGAGCAAGTAAAGCAGAGGAGAGAAAACCAATAAGGAGCTAGGAAGAAATAGATTCCCTTCCCCCGCCCAAAAAAGTTATTTCACTGGATCCCACTGAAGGAAATTTGTATATTTTTTATTTTGTTGTTTTAATATGATATCCAGCATCCTACTGATGTTCACAGAAAGTCTGCATAACTTACAGGGCTTAATAGAGGAGGGTGCTGGGGCACATTTTGGTTATACTTTGTACCTGTCCGGGCACATGGCCAAGACACACCTGGGCACCTCATCAGCTTATCCGCAATTAGCCTTGGCAACTTGTATAAACCTTACACACATTTATTTTATGTATGTACAGTGGTGCCCCGCAAGACAGGCGTTCTGTTTGACGATGAAATCGCATCACAACAAAAGGAGGGTGCTGGGGCACATTTTGGTTATACTTTGTACCTGTCCGGGCACATGGCCAAGACACACCTGGGCACCTCATCAGCTTATCCGCAATTAGCCTTGGCAACTTGTATAAACCTTACACACATTTATTTTATGTATGTACAGTGGTGCCCCGCAAGACAGGCGTTCTGTTTGACGATGAAATCGCATCACAACAAACTTTTTGCGAGTATGTATGTACAGTGGTGCCCTGCAAGACGGGCGCTCTGTTTGACGACGAAATCGCATCACGACAAACTTTTTGCGATCGCAAAACGATGTTCCCTATGGGGGAATTTTGCTTTGCGATTATCGGTTCCCTGCTTCGGCCGCCCGTTGTGTTTTCACACGGATTCCTAGCTGCACAGGCAGCGAAAATGGCCGCGCTATGGAG